GTTTCCTTCACTGTAAAGAAGCTTTTTAGTTTCCAATATGTTATTTTTGCTGTTTCCCTTGTTTCCAGAGACATATCTAGAAAGAAGTTTGCTACAGCCGATGTCAAAGAAGTTACTGCCTGTGTGCTCTTCTACAGTTTTTAAGGTTTTAGGTCTCACATTTAGGTCTTTAATCCATTTTTTTGTGTGGGATTTCAATTTTTTTTAATTTTATTTTTTTTTAATTTACATCCAAATTAGTTAGCATATAGTGCAACAATGATTTCAGGAGTAGATTCCTTAGTGCCCCTTACCCATTTAGCCCATCCTCCCTCCCACAACCCCTCCAGTAACCCTCTGTTTGTTCTCCATATTTAAGAGTCTCTTATGTTTTGTCCCCTCCCTGTTTTTACATTATTTTTGCTTCTCTTTCCTTATGTTCATCTGTTCTGTGTCTTAAAGTCCTCATATGAGTGAAGTCATATGATACTTGTCTTTCTCTGACTGACTCATTTCACTTAGCATAATACCCTCTAGTTCCATCCTCATAGTTGCAAATGGCAAGACTTCATTCTTTTTGATTGGCAAGTAATACTCCATTGTATGTATATACCACATCTTCTTTATCCATTCATCCATCAATGGACATTTGGGCTCTTTCCATGCTTTGGCTATTGTTGATAGTGCTGCTATAAACATTGGGGTGCATGTGTCCCTTCGGAACAGCATACCTGTATCCCTTGGATAAATACCTAGTAGTGCAATTGCTGGATTGTAGGGTAGTTCTATTTTAAATTTTTTGAGTATCCTCCATACTGTTTTCCAGAGTGGCTGCACCAGCTTGCATTCCCATCTTTAATCCATTTTTAATTTATTTTTGTGTGTGGTGTAAGAAAGTGGCTTGATTTCATTCTTTTGCATGTTGCTGTCCAGTTTTTCCAACACCATTTGTTGAAGAGACATTCTTTTTCCCATTGGATATTCTTTCCTGCTTTATCGAATATTATTGGCCATATAGTTGTGAATTCATTTCTGTGTTGTTGTTGTTTTTTAAGATTTTATTTCTAAGTAATCTCCCTATCCAACATGGGGCTCCAGCTTACAATCTGGAGATCAACAGTTGCATGCTCTACTGACTGAGCCAGCCAGGCATCCCAAACTGCTCATTTCTGGGTTTTCTATTCTGTTCTTTTGATCTTTGTGTCTATTTTTGTGCCAGTACCATATTGTTTTGATTATTACAGCTTTGTAATATAACTTGAAGTCCAGAATTGTGATTCCTCCAGCTTCACTTCTCTTTTTTAAGGTTGCTTTAGCTATTCAGGGTCTTTTGTGGTTCCATAAAATGTTAGAATTATTTATCCTAGTTCTGTGAAAAATGCTGTCGGTATTTTGATAGATATTGCATTAAATGTGCGGTTGGCTCTGGGTGGTATACACATTTGAACAATACTTGTTCTTTCAATCCATAAGCATGGAATGCCTTTGCATTTCTTGGTGTCATTTTCAGTTTCTTTCATCAGTTTTTTATAGTTTTCAGAGTACAGGTCTTTCACTTCTTTGACTAGGTTTATTCCTACATATCTTACTGGTTTGGGTACAATTTTAAATGGAATTATTTTCTTAATTTCTCTTTCTGCTCTTTCATCACTAGTGTAAGAAGTGCAACAGATTGCTGTATGTTGATTTTGTATTCTTCAGCTTTACTCAATTCGTTTATCAGTTCTAGCAACTTTTTGGTGGGTTCTTCTTGGTTTTCCTGCCCCACATCTTAAGTATGGTTGTAGTGACTGAAATAATCACAACTTTTAGTTATAGTCTGATTGCTATACTGCATAACATTCATACAGTAAGGGCTACATTATTAGATCTTCTCATTGTAACACTGCAATTTATACATATATACGACTTTCAGATTTCATTTTTCATAGGAATTCTTTTATACCATGGTACAACATAGAGAAGCACAAATTATTTATGTGAAAGAGAAATCAATGAATATTAGATTCCAGCTACCAATTGTGTAATTCCTTTTAGAAGTCTTACATTCAGTCATTTTCATTAGATAAATATTTATTGAGCACTTGTTATGTTATTGTTTAATTTCAGTATCTCTTTATCCTAAACCAGATTTACAAATCTTATAAATCTGTTTATGCCATTGTTCTCTGTCTCAACAAATATTAACATTTACTGAAGTCAAAAGTCTGGGAGCTGTCCCTGGCCTTTTTCTGTCTCTACCTTTTTCATCAATTACCAGGTTTAAAGTCTTTCTCTGTTCTCTATTTGCATTACCACCCCTATGACCCAAATCCTCATCATGAGTCACAGCCTCAGTTTTTGCTTCCTATTAATATACTTTCCTTATGAAAACAGAGATCTTTATGCAATCCAAATGTGACATTCATACTCCAGTTTAAAATTCTTTAGTTTGCCCTTAATCTTAGGATAAAATCAAAACTCTTTGATTGCTTTATAAATCCCTGTACAGTCTGACCACTAAGCTGTTCCAGCTTTTCCTCTCACTCAGGGAACTCATTGTTTTCGGTGGATAGTTCATGTCTTTACCTCCTCTTCTTAACACAGCTGATCCCTTATTTGGAACATTCTTCTCTTTCCCTACCTTTCCACAGCCTGGCTAATACTTGTCATTCATCTTAAAAGTTATTACGAAGTATTATACACAAAAAATGTATATATCTACAGTTAAAAGAATGAAAAAGGAGTATCTGTATATCTGAAATGATACGTCTAGTACCTTTTAAGTCTTTTTTTTTTTTTTTTTTAATTTTTTTTTTTCAACATTTATTCATTTTTGGGACAGAGAGAGACAGAGCATGAATGGGGGAGGGGCAGAGAGAGAGGGAGACGCAGAATCGGAAACAGGCTCCAGGCTCTGAGCCATCAGCCCAGAGCCTGACGCGGGGCTCGAACTCACGGACCGCGAGATCGTGACCTGGCTGAAGTCGGACGCTTAACCGACTGTGCCACCCAGGCGCCCCTTGTCTTTTATGTGCCCCTTTCTGACCATATCTCTTCTCCTTATTCCAAAGATAACCACTGTCCTGAATTTACATTTATAGTCCTGTTCCTTTTCTTTATAATGTCATAACACAAATCTATGTTTCCCTTAGCAATATATGGTTTAGTTTCACTTGATGAAACTAGTTTTACATAGCTGTGGTTCATTTTTACTGCTGTTAAGACCTTTACCTGGGTGACCATTCCAAAATTTGTTATCTGTTGTCTTGTTGGTGAGTATTTAGGTTATTCCCAGTTGTTTGTTATTATAAACAATATTGCTGTGAGTATTCTTGTAATTCTCCTGATACATATGTGCAAGAATATAGGCCTAAGAGAAAAATTGCTCTCTTGTAAGATCTGTGCGTTCTCTACTTTACCAAATGATGTCCAATTTTTTCCCAAAGTGGTAATACTAATTTACTCCCTCTTCCTGTATAGTGTTCATATATAGCCATTGATACTCCATCCTTAGCAGCTCTTGGTGTAAAATGGTATCTCTTGGGTTTTGTATGTATTGCCATGTTTACTAATGAGTTAGAGTGTATTTTCATGTTTATTTGCCATTTGTATTTTATGCCTGTGGTATCTTTTGTCTCTTTTCCTATTAGGTTGTTTATTTTTTCATATTGGATTTGAGCAGTATTTATACATTCTAGATAAATTCCATTTGATTTCCAATCAGAAAACATAGTGTATTTTATCCATGGTAGGTGCTGTGCTAAACTGAGAAGACAGCTGTAGACAAGAAAGAAACTATCCCTTGGAGCTAGAGAGTATAATGCAAAGTGAAATAAGTCAGTCAGAGAAAGACAAATACCATATGATTATACTCATATGTGGAATTTAAGAAACAAATGAACAATAGGAAAAAAAGAGCCAAACCAAAAAAATAGATTCTTAACTTGAAAGAATGAACTCATGGTCACCAGAGGGGAAGTGGATGGGGGAATGACTTAAATGGGTGAAGGGGATCAAGTATATACTTATCCTGATGAGCAATGAGTAATGTATAGAATTGCTGAATCACTATATTGTACACTTGAAACTAGTATAACACTGTATGTTAACTATACTGGAATTTAAAATTTTTAACCTTAATCAAGAAGAAAAAAGAAACCATCCCTGCTCACATGGGTTCCTGCCCTCACTCTGCTCAAGGAGTCAGATAGTAATCAAATCTCTAAAGTAGTTAGATTGTAATAGGTGCTGTTAATATCAGCTCACTTTGTACTTCCTCGGAACGAACTTACCTGACTCCTACTAAATTTGGTCCCTTTGAATACTGTATTTCCAGAGCATACATATTAGTAGTATTGTTTGCCTTCCTCTCTAGTTGACAAGTTTTCTGAGATCAGGAACCTTTTTTGTTGTTGTTTGTTACTGTATCTCCAACACTTAACCTGGTGTTGTTTACATGGTAGATGCTTAATAAATATATTTTTTTGAATGAATGAATGGAAAGTTGTCATCAGTGGTAATAACTGAAAATTCAGCATTCGCTGCTGATATATAAGGAGTATAGGCCTGGATTTGGCAATTTGATATAACAAGGACAGGTAAAACTAGAAAGTAAATATTTAAACCTTGCAAATTTCTTTACACAAAACACAGTTGCCAGGGGAAAGTACTATGTCAAGTTTTAATTTAGACCTAGTTTTGTGATAAGAAATTACAGAGTAGAGTAATATGCAATAGGAAGCAAACTTAACCAACAAATATATACATGCTGGGTATATATTTTTAGTACATGGGTATATTTTTAGTACATGCTGGGTGGCTATGAGAGAAGAGAAGCCATATATTAAAAGCCATATTAAAAGAATATTGGTCATATTCTCTTATCATCACTAGGATATTCACACAGTGACTTGGTACCCTACAGACATAGTTAATGGGTCTGAAGAGTAATAGTCTAATAAATACTCTGGGAGCAAGGCTCATTCTAAATATGTCAACTTGGATACTGAAGAGATCAGGGGAGGTGCCAGCCTCTGAAGTACTGGGTCAGAAGCAACCAAGCTGAGAAAGAACAGAAGGCAAACTTCTCATATGTGAGCCTGAGGTCAGCTGAGGACATGGAAGCCAGAGTCTCTGGACTTGTGTGATTTGGAAGTTAGTTGGGGCTGGTGAAACGTGGCACTGAACGGAACATAATCCTGTTTTGGACGTATGCAGCAAAAGTACTTATTGGTCAGACCAAGAAGGTAATGACATGCAGTTTGCCCCATCTGGTGGGAAAAGTACCCAGGAGAACCCAAAGAAGCCGTGATGATGGGTTCCCATTCTGGAACACATCTCATGCCTGCTCTGCTAGATCTAGACCCTGTGCTGCAGGTACTATACTTCCATGCACAGAGGTAGCTGAGAAGAAGTAAAAACACGAAAAACTTGCTTAGCATGACAAAAAGGACACAAGGCTACTCATTAAAGTGTATAACTGCTCATCAAAAATCTTCTTAATGACACTGAAAAATTGTAAAATGACAGGAATGGTGGGTAGTAGAATGTGGCTAATTGAAACCTGTATATAACTTCAAAATCTTTATTCACTCATGCCACAAATATCAACTGAGTACAGTTACTATATGCCATGAACTGCTAAATCCCGCAAGAATAGATGTGTAAAGCAAAGCACCTAGGTTGGCGTTATTTGCTTGTTGAAATCTTTTCGTGGTCGCCTCTTTACCAGAATTACTTTGTGATTGCTCACCTTAAAAATACACATTAAGATTAATAGAATAAAAGGAGAAGAATATTAGACAAAAAATCAAAAAGAACATTAGGATTTCAGCCTTGTTGATTTATTTGGGTCCAAAGTTTTACTGAAAGCTTTCTGGCAGTAAGAGCAAAGGGCATATATCTAGTTAAGATATATCAAGAACACAGTTTTTCCTGGTACTGTTTGTGTGATAAATTTATCATGTAGATTTATTGTATAAGAGAAATTGAGTAAGTCCAATGAATGCTAGCCTCAAGAATACTTATACAGTAAGTGCAGAAGTAGATTTTATAAAGGCTATGTCCCATTTTGACCTTTCTTAAGTTTATTTATTTTTAGAAAGAGAGCATGAGCGGGAGAAGGGCAGAGAGGGAGAGAGAGAATCCCTAGCAGGCTCCACATTTAGTACACAACCTGACTCAGGGCTTGATCCCATGACGGTGAGATCATGACCTGAGCCAAAATCAAGAGTTGGCCATTTAACCACCTGAGCCACCCAAGTGCCCCTTGACTTTTCTTAAAAGGCCAAGGCAACACAGCCTGCTAAGGGTCATAAAACACATACATAAATGTGATACTATGTATGGGATAAGGCACATACATAAATAATTAGAATACAAGGGTCAGAGTAATAGAGAAATTGATATGGGAGTTCAGGGGAGTGAGAGATTAGTTCCAAGATAAAAGGGAAAGACAAGGTCATAGCTGATCCTTGAAGGGTGGTAGGATTTGGACATATGAAGTTTAGAAGAGGGTGTTCTCTTATCCCTAGACTATCAGAATCTAGAAATAGCCATATTGAGTAAGCTGAATGTCCAAGGCAAACATGCTAAAGACTAATGAAATGACTCCAAGAAAGAAAATGTGCTATAACTTAAACTTATATAATGTTACATATAAATTATGTCTCAACAAAACTGGAAAAAACAAATCTCAGTATATGTAGATGATACCAGGAAGAAAGGAATGAAGGAAGGAAGGAAAAGAGAAAAAAAAGAGAATGTGCAATCTATAGGGCTCTTGGGGCAGACCTGGTTTCATATGCTTGCCTATTCTCACAGAACCTGTTTCTTCAACCCTAAATTAGAGATAATATTAGCTACCTGCCATAATTTTTGTAAAAATTTCAGGAATTAATGTACATGAACACATGTAGCACAATGCTTGATACCACCTGAGTACATAGTGACTTATAATTTCCTCCCTTCCATTTAAGGTAGAAAAAAGTAGTCCTAAGGATTTGGATAATAAGACTGACTGTATGTGGTTATTGAAAGTCACAAATGCTTTATTGGTGACTGGGAGAGGATACCGATGACCTATTGATAAAGTTTTCAGATGACTCTAAGTAAAGGTGAAAACTTCAAGTTCCAGGGGATCTCAACTCACTAGAACACCATTCTTTTTTTTGTTTGTTTGTTTGTTTAATGTTTTTATTTATTTTTGAGAGAGAGAGAGAGAGAGACAAACAGAGCATGAGTGGGGAGGGGCAGAGAGAGGAGAGAGAATCCGAAGAAGGCTTCAGGCTGTGAGCTGTCAGCACAGAGCCCGACACGGGGCTGGAACTCATGAACGGTGAGATCATGACCTGAGCTGAAGTCAGATGCTTGACCTCCTGAGCCAGCCCAATACATCTAGAACACCATTCTAATAAGGAGATTCTTAATGATACTAAATGTGAAGTCTCTTTTTAAACAAATCACACCTAGATGAGAGCACAATCACATAAGAGCAGCACATAGGAAAAAACTCAGAACCTGTAGTTGTTACCAGATTCAGTATGAAGCCGGTTCATGTGGCTGCTAAAGAGTAAGAGAGGAAAGAGTCACTTATCAGATGACACGATAAGTCTTTGGTGTTAGTTGCCATCAGGTATATACTTTACAGTCCTGCCTTGCCTTGCTTAGTCTTTATGTAACATTTACACTATTGGCCACACAGTCTTGACTTCCAGAGAAACAAATTCCTAATTTTCTCTACTATGAGCATTCCTGAAATTTTTTTCAAGCTTCTTTTTACTGATACCGGCCCCTCTAGTGATAGTTTTTCTCAAGTTTCTCTTCTCAATGTCTGCTGTAAAGCTCTTTTTAAAATCTCCTTTCTTTGAGCCTACATGTATGAAGTCTTTTCCACACGTACTGTCCTGTCTGAAACTTTCCCCCAATCCAGCTAGTTTGCAGTCTTTTCCTCTCCCTACTTTTCCACAGTAATCCCACTGTTCTTAATCTGCATGCTTTCCGAGATATCCCAGTCCATTCTAGGAATAGGACATCTGCAGACATCTCTATCTTTGTCTCCTGCACCAGGGTCCTGTCCTAGTCATCACGTTTATGTCTAGTTGCCAAAATCACCATGCTTCCACACCCTGGCATATCTTATAGGCACTCAAAAAGCAACGTGTCTAAAACTTACCTAGTATATTTCTCCCAGCCTGGTCTTGCTGTTGCAGTTTCCATTTGCAGTGGTAAATGCTCTGTGTGTCATCACTAATGCTACCATCCACACTCTCAACCAAACTACAAACTATGACATCCTGTCTTTCACAAAGTCCTGCCAGTTTTACTACTTGAATATTCCTTAAATTTGTCGTTTTAGCCCCCACTCCTACTCTCCCACTTTTAATTCTCATTGTCCATCTGGATTCATGAAGCCTCCTAACTGGTCTCCTTTACCTCCTAAAATTGACTTCCACAGCTACCAGAGTGCTTGGCTAAACTACAGATCTTACCCTCTTGCTCAGGAGGTCCCATTGCCTACAGTGCAAAGATCAGGCTCTTTAGCAGGACATAAAAAAAACTCCACAGTCTTGCCTATCAACCTCTCCAGCCTTACTTCTCTCTAATTCCCATTTCTAACCTCCAAATTGGCTGTAATTCCTAGAATATCACCTATCCGGTGATTGAAAGTGGGCCTCTGTTAGTCTTTCCACTATGCTTGTGTTGCTTTTAGGCTTCTCCACACATCCTATTCCATCCTTGCCTAGGTAATTCCTATTCATATCCCCTCTCCAGGAAGCTTTCTCTGACTCCTCAGTCTGAGATGAGTATTGTTCCTCTATCCGACTGTAACATCTTGGTGTAACACTCTAATTACGTTTACAATACTATATTGACTGGTGCACCTAAGTGATCAATAAGTATTCGCTAAATTCTTTTTTTTCCCTAAGTTTTGTTTTTAAGTAATCTCTGCACCAAAGGTGGAGCTTGAACTCATGATCCTGAGATCAAGAGTAACACGCTTCACCGACCAAGCCAGCGAGGCGCCCCCCCAGTATTTGTTAAATCCTTACATGTTTCTCTGTCATACTAGCCATTAAATTCCTTGGAGACATATCCATCTTTTATCTTTATCAACTAGCTCTGTACTCACTTTCTTCTGAGCTCCAAATGCCTACTACATATCTATCCTCAGATAGCTTACTGGTGTTAAAATCATACTTCTAAAATCGAATGCCTGTAAAGCTTCTATTTTCTCAGCCTTCCCACCCTTCCCCGATAAAAGAAAAAGAAACATTCTAATCTGCTTCTCCTCCCGAACCCTCTAGCTCTCACTCATGCCTGTGCAAAACAGAAATATGGTCATCATCTTGGATGCCCCTCCTCCTTCCATTCTCCCTTTACCAGATCTCATTGGGGCTCCACTAGAAAGCAGAATCATTCTGGATGACCTCCTGTTCTGAAATTTTGTTATTCTGGTAATCAGCAGCTTGACTTAGCCACAATTATATAGCATTTTCAGGTTGGAAGAGGCAGCTTAGTAAATAGTTAAGTTTCAAACTCTGGAATAAGATTGCCTGATTCACATACCACATGTGCCAGTTACATAGCTGTGTGACTCTGAACTTAATAATTGAATATTTCTCTGCCTTCGCTTCATCTTTAGAGTGAGGATTAAATAAGGTAATGCGTAGAAAACACTTAGCATAGTACACAGACATAACGAGACTTCACAAGTAAGTAAAATGACCTCGTATTGTATTCAAGTAGGTGCTTTCCTTTGCTTTCAATGTGATTTCCAAATCTAAAGGAGCTGAGGTTGGTAATTACTCATCTTTCATGTTTGTTAGGAAATTTTTTAAAAACCTGCCTTTTATCTTTTATTGGTGAGAAAACTCTTTGCTGCTTTAAAGAGTACCCTTTTGTTGTAGGCAGAGAACTTGAAGTCATTTTTATTCTCTTGGTAAAATTTGCTAAGGATGTACGTGTATCATAGAAATACAAGGTGTCATCATTATTTTTTCTTTCTCACATAGTCTGTTGATTTTCTTATTTCTCACATAAGTAC